GCTGGCGTCACAGGTCCTCGTTCCCTGGACAGCAGGGGTCGGAGGGAGGTCTGCTGCGCCCCCTTCGGCCTCTCACGTCCTTGGGAGAATCGGTTAAGCGGCCGAGGGAGGCGGCGAGGAAAGGTCAGGTCCGGGAGGCGCGAGATGTCGCCTTCATGCAACGCGGCGAGGGCAGGGAACGTTTAACGGGAGGCTGGCGTCGATGTAACGTTTTCCCATATGCTGTTGGAAGCGGAGGAGAAACGTCTGCATTTATGCCTTAAAGATACGTGGGTAGCAGTCCTATCCGTAAGGTATTGATTGCCCTTGTTTTCTTTAATACCTTAATCAGTATGTCCTTGACCATGCTATTCAAGTGCGGGTGCCTTGAAATAGGGCGCACACACATTTCTATATTGAAAGAATTGAGGTGCAGATATCGAAATATAGAGATGCGATGGACAACTTTTTCGCGGATAATTGCAAGAACAGTTCCTGGTGCTTATAAAAAGCAAAGATGGGTTGTTATTAAAGGGATGCTGAAGGCATAGATTGGCGAGGTTGGTGTCCGTAGTGGCCCGGCGTTGAGCTCTGGGGTGTTGGGTACGACCCTTGCAGCCACGGACGCGTGTTTCGTTGTTTGCTTGTAGCCCAGATATCGATTGGCGTGTAGTTAGTGCTAATGGCTGAACGCTCATGCTTGTGGGCACACATGGAATGTGTACGAAGAGAGTGTGCGAGACGGTGCACGTGGGAAAAAGGTGTGTTGTGATAAATTGTGGAGGAGTGCGAGAGAGGCGGAGATCCCGGGCTTAGCGTAATGGCCAACGAGTATTGCGCTATTGTGTGGACCCCCCACCAAGGTATTACGCGCCCGCTGCTCCAGGAGGGACGCTGCCTCTGCGGATGGGGGGGCGGGGGCGAGGAGGGAAGAAACTAAAAGCAGCGAGGGAAAGAAGAGGAAGCCGGAGGGATAAAGGCCAGGGGCGGGGAGGGAAGGAAGGAGGCCCTCGCGAGCAAAGCGTTTAAATAGTAAGTTGCGCCGTGATATTCCTTGGCAGAAGGAGGGAGGAAGGGAGGGCGAGGAGAGCCCCGAGAGGAGTTAGAGGGGAAAAAATCAAGCCGTTGTATTAAATGTGTTTTGACCTCGCCAGCAGTAAAGGGGCGCGGGGGCCATGCTATATTGATTTTAGTATTGACAGTTTTTCCATTTTCCGTTTCCCCCCGTGGTCACTTTAGGGCTGGGGGCGGGGGGGGGGGGGGGAGGTGCATACACAAAGGCTGCCGACTCGCAGTAATGGCCTCGCTGAAGGAGCTGATTAAGATTCAGACGGCGAGGTTCCTCCTCCTTCTGGCGTGTCGCGGAGGCTGTCAAAACCCGGGCGAGAGAACTCATAAGGTGGCGCGAGTTATCACCTCGGGAGCCTCATCTGCTTGGTAAACAGATTTAAGATGCCACGCTGCCATAAACAGTGCCAGGTGGCGGCGACCAGCGAACCCAGCCCACGCCCCACGCTCCGCCACCGCCACTAATGCTCCGCGAGTGGACGGACTGCTGCGTAATCCCCGCGCTGGTTCGAAGGTCGTTGAGGCAGCCGCTCGCCGTGCAGGAACCGCTCCTCGTTCCTGCGGAGGCGCTGCGGAAGCCCCTTGGCGGTAGGGCCTGGAGGAGAGCAGCCGGTAGGAGCTAAAGGGGAGGCGGCCGAAGGAGGCGTCGGTCTGCGAAAGCCCTTGGTGGAGAGGGACGGGCACGGCGAGGCGGAGGAGGAACACGGCGTCCATTTTTTATGGAACTGATATTTAAATGGCATGAAGCTCATTTTTCCATTTACATATATTTTGCTATGTTAATGAATAATCGCCACGCTGGACCGAGAAACGACTTGAGATGGAATGGAACGGGCACGACTTTTCTGGCCGAATGCAAAACATGCGTCGGGGAATCCACCCGAAGCAGCGCTCCAGGAAAACCCTTTGGGGGAGGTTGCGACGCGGAGGTCGTCGGCGGGTTCGGCGAGTGCGTGCTGTTGCCGGGAAGGGCGGCGGTCGTGGCGAGGGTCGTCATGCAGGGACGTGGGAGGACGGCGCGGGAGTCGTGCGAGAGGGCCCTTAGGTTTTTGCGGCGGAGTTTTTCTTGTGGCGCCGCAAGTGGTGAGTTCTCACGGCCGCGCACCGCAGTACAAATCACCCCCGCCGCAGTTACCGCCGCCCGACCGCCGCCCTCACAAAACCCCCGACAACGCCCACTTGCCGCTCTCCATTGTCTTGCTGTAACTCCCAGTGCCGCCCCTTCGTCCCGCCCCGCTGTATGTGAACGCGCGTGTGTCCGCCGACGGGCGTGAGGGCGTCCGTTTCTAGTTTTTCTCTCTGGGTCTCTCTTTGTCTCTGTCTCCGCCAGTTGTTAGCAGGTGCACGAGCGCGCCTGTGCGTGCGCGTCATGTTTCGTGCGAGTTTGTGTACGCGCGCGCGTGTTCTCTTTAAAGTGTGTGCGTAGAGCAGGTTTGCATGCATAATCATTGTTATTTGGGTCTTCGTCTCCTGCGGTTACTTGCGTTGGGGATCGCTGTGGTTAGTCCGGACCACAGTGGCTGCTCATAACGCGGCGTGCTATGGTCAGGCCGTAGGCGCATGTGCGTGCTGCGGGAGGCTCTTCGGCGCAGCTGTGTCCTTCCACGGAAGCGCCTTCGAACCGCCATCACAGAGCGCAGAAATAATGCATTTGGCAGCGCGTCGGCGACTTGTATTTGCGCTTCTTAATCTTCACCAGTTCGCAGCTGCCTGGGCCACTGTCACGAAATTATTTGTATTTACTCGTCCGTGTGACCTGCCCTGGAGGAGCGTGCGTGCGAGCCGGGGCGCGGCGCAGGGCTGCCCCCCGGCGGCGCGGCAGTTCGAGAAACTTACGAGAGCAAAAAGCTGCGTCGCGGTGATTGCCTGAGCGCCGAGGCCTTTTTGTTCCCGCATCCTCGCAACTGCCGCCCATGAATAAAACATGACCCCGCGGCCTCCTAATGTACTGCCACGCCCTCCCTACACACCTCGCTTCACCATCTACACGAACCGCCACCTGTGACCGTCTCGGAAGCCAGCTGCGCGCCCCACCTGGCCGCCAGCGCGAAGCCACTCAGCGCAAGTACGGTAATGAGGTTGGCTCGGAATGGCACCAGCTGCTGCTTGTGCGCCGCCATTCTCCCACCCTTTTAATTGCTGCAGTCGCACACAACCACAACATCATCAGCATAATTAACAACCGCGGCGGGTCACAATCCTCCGTCATTGGAGTGCGTGTTTGTTTATTTTTTATCCTCATGCCCACCGGTAGAGCAACAGCCTCGCTACCACACGGGCATGCGGGAAGGATGTGCGAGCGCGGCGCGCGAGAGAAGGAGGGGAAGGAGGGAAGCAGGGGAAGGAGAGAAGGAGGGGAAGGAGGGAAGCGAGGGGAAGGAGGGAAAGCAGGGAAGGAGAGAAGGAGGGGAAAGGAGGGAAGAGGGGAAGGAGAAGAGGGGGAGGAGGGAAGCAGGGGAAGGAGAGAAGGAGGGGAAGGAGGGAAGCAGGGGAAGGAGAGAAGGAGGAGAAGGAGGGAAGGAGGGGAAGGCACATACGGCGCGCGGCCATGAATGCATTACAATATTGCCGCGCTCCTGGGTGACACGCCATGATGGATGAGACCACAGTCCAGATGGCGGATCGAGCCGTTCCAGACCCCCTCCGCCCGTGTTTCTTTTCTAAGGCGGTCGACCCCTTCTGCCGCCCTCTCTCGCCCTCTTACGCTTTTTTTTTAACTCTCTCTCTCTCTCTCTCCTGTCCTCTCTCTCTTCCTCTCCTCTTCTCTCTCTCTCTCTCGCCCTCACTTCTCTCGCTCTCTCCTCTCTCTTCTCTCCCTCTCCCTCTCCTCTCTCTCCTCTCTCTCCTCTCCTCTCCCTCCTCTCCCCCTCTCTCTCTCCCTCTCTCTCTCTCTCTCTCTCTCCTCTCTCTCCTCTCCTCCTCCTCTCTCCTCTTCTCTCTCCTCTCTCTCTCCCTCTCTCCCTTCTCTCTCTCTCTCTCTCGTCTCTCTCTCTCCCTCCCTCTCCTCTCCTCCTCTCCTCTCCCCTCTCTATCTCTCTCTCTCTCTCTCTCTCTCTCTCTCTCTCTCTCTCCCTCCCTCCTCCCTCCCTCCTATCTATTTATCTCTCTCTATCTCTTCTTCCTCTTGTCGCTCCCTCTCATCTGTTCTCCAATCCTCCCCCCCCCCTTTTCGTCTCTCTCTACCTTTCACTCCTGTCTCCCTCTCTTCCTCCCCTTCCACCTCTCCTTTCTTCCCCCTCTCCTTTCTTCCCTCTCTGTCTTTCACTTGTCGCCCTCTCTTCCTCCTCATCTCTCCTTCTTACCTCCTGAGCCTCAGATTATTAGTCTACCTTTACCTCCTTTTCTCGTCCCTCCAACTCCATCGGGATAGCGACTCACTCCTACCACGTGCTTCATCATCGCCTTGTTGTGTCCTTCTGTCCTTCAGTTGGGACGTCAACCGCCCTGGTCTCTCGGTGTACTGGGACTAAACCTGGGATGATGTTTTTTTCTTCTATTTTTTTCTATTTTTTTTCTTTGTATATGTCCGTGTATATCTCTTCGCTCTTCCCCTTCTCTCTTGCCTTGCTTCTCTCTCTTTTCTTCTCTTTTCTTCTCTTCTCTGTCTCCTCTTCTCTCTCTCTTCTCTTCTCTTCTCTTCTCTCTCTCTCTCTCTCTTTTCCCTCCCTCCCTCCCTCCCATCCTCCATCCCCTCCATCTCTCCTCTCTCCCTGTCTTCCTCCTCTCCTCCCCTCCTCCCTCTCCTCCCCTCCTCCCCCCTCCTTCCCTCCCCAATTCTATTTTCTTTCAAACCTCTTCCCTCCCAGTGTGATCTGTGACGGTCGCGATGTGACGGATTGTGGGGGTGAGACCGGGGGAGAGGGAGGTGGAGGGGGAGAGGGGAGAGGGGGGAGGGAAGGTGGGGAGAGGGGAGAAGGTGGGGAGGGGGAGGGGGACGTGACGTGAGCGGCATCATGCTGGTATAGATTATCGGAGTCTTCACACGGCGGGGAAGGCTGCCGCTGGCTACACTGAACTCGCTCGCGGTGTCTCCTGAAGGCGCAGATGGATCTCTCTCTCTCTCTCTCGCGCCCCGCCGCCGCCGCCCGCAAAGTCCGCGCCCACGGCCTCTGCGCGCTGAGGGGAGGGCGGGGGTGGGGGGTGGGGGTGCCGAGGGACTGGCGAGTGCCCTGCGGAGGCCTGGTGGGGGTGTTGCTGATTATTATTTTTTTTTTTTTTTTTGTATTCTCTCCCTTGTTTGTTGTGGTTGATGTTCTCGTTATTAACACTGATTATGCTATTATTATAAATAAATTCTACTATTATTATTATTATTGTTGTTGTTATTGTTGTTATTAATGCTATTGTTGTTAATGCAATGATTATCATCATTATCGTTATAATCAGCATCTTCAATATTGTTAGTGTTATTATTGTTTTTATTATCATCACCATCATCATTTATATTATTAGTGTTCTCATTTTCTTCCTTGATATCATTATAGTTATTATCATCATCATCATCAATCACCATCATCAGCAATCATCATAATCATCATCATCATCATCACCATCATCACCAATCATCATCAGTCATTATCTCCACCATCATAATCACCAATCATCATCATCATCACCAATCATCATCAATCACCATCACCACCATAATAATCACCACCACCACCATCACCAATCATCACCAATCATCATCATCATTGTCCTTCTCCCTCTACGCCCTTCTACGTGTGACGCCCCCCCTCTTGTCTTGCAGGCGTGTAACGAGTTCACGACCCACGTGATGAACCTGCTCCGGGAACAGTCTCGCACCCGCCCCATCACCCCCAAGGAGATCGAGCGTATGGTGCAGATCATCCACAAGAAGTTCTCGTCCATACAGATGCAGCTCAAGCAGTCCACCTGCGAGGCCGTCATGATCCTGCGCTCGCGGTTCCTCGACGCCAGGTACGGGCCCCGACTCTGCCCCGCCGAGGGGTGGAGGGATGGGGGATGGGGGATGGGGATGGGGAGGGATAGGGATGGGGAGGGAAAGGGGGTGATCTCGTGTCTCTTTTTTTTTCCTAGTCAGTTGCCAACCCTTAGACACAATGAGTTTTTCACGGCCGCCCCAGTTCGGCCTTTGCGAGTAACAGTGACTAGAGTGTAATGAATTCGAGTCGAAGTGGCACCGGCACAAAAGCGATCCTTTTTCTCTCCTTCCCGTAGTGCTTCCATCAGCGTATTCGCTAACGTGTGCTTATGAGAGTCTGGGGAGCTAAGTGTGTGTGTGTGTGTGTGTGAGAGAGAGAGAGAGAGAGAGAGAGAGAGAGAGAGAGAGGGGGAGGGAGGGAGGGAGGGGGAAGGGTAAGGGAGAGGGGGAGCCACGCTGGGTTTACTGCCCATTCCATGGTTTCTGGGCTGGATTAAGTGTGAGCAGAGCTGCCACTAGCTCTCCCGTCACTCTTTTGACTCCCATTAACCATGATTAGTGTCCTCTCGGAGGCGCTCCCCGACCCTCCTGGGACCATCTCGTAAACAACTCCATCAGCGCAGCTCCCTCGCGGGCGTGTGCGCCGGGTGCGCTCCGGAGGGACGCCCGCGCCCAGGCCTCGCTGGCCCCTTCAGGCCCGTTCTGCCTTCCGAAAATCCCTTATGTTTCCGGGTTCGCGAGGACGACACATTAAACGCGGGAAAAAATCATAAGGCTGCTTAATTTACGTTTCTGTTCCATATTTAATAACCTAATAAAGATTTTACGGTTCCTTTAGGGTGGCCAGACGCAGCATATAACTGATATAATTAGCATGATGACGCGCTGTTGGACCCGCTCGAGGGCGTCCTCTTTATCACGTGCAGCTCGAGTCGCGCCTCGACCCTCGTCTGTGTCCGAGGTTGAGCCCCGTGTTCCTCGGCCTCGAGCTCCTCTCCTCTCGCTGGTCCTCGAGGGGAGCCGTGGCGCTGAGCAGGGACTGGCGGGGGGAGGAGGGGAGGTCTGAGTGCGTGTGCACGAGCGGTTAGCCCCCCACGCGGCGGGGATATAGAGGGCTTTAATATTTGTGTAAGTTAGCAGTAGCCATGACCCTAACCCGAGTAATTTGCCCCGCGCCGTCCCTGCATGGGAACTACCTCCTTATCCTGGCGGGCAGCCCTCCCCACGCCCACGCCGCCGCCTCGCTCACCCACGCCCGCACGCGCCGTGCTCGCGTGATGCTCGGCGGTGGCTAGTGTGAGGACGTCACTTCCTTAATTCGAATGGACATCGCGGTGTCCGACGGCGCGTCGCTTGGCCTCATCCGCGGCGCACGGGGAGGGTGATCCGAGGCCGGCGAGGGCGCGCAGGACTCGCCTCGGCAAGTGCTCTTAGAGAGGACTTCCCTCGGCCGGCGAGGGCGGGACACAAAGGAGGAAGCACCTGGCGCGAGCGAGTCAGACAGAGGCGCCCATTGTATGGGAGATCGGCTGCGGACAGGACTCCGCTGGAGGGAGGGGGTTGAGCGGGGGGCGTATTGTGCGGCCGTTTACGAGAGTGTCCGGCGGGTTACGAGCCATAACCTCGCTTACGGCCTCCTACACCACCTTATAAAACCCACAGTCTTTACCGCGACTGCTGCCCGCGCCTCCCTACATCCGCATTTCTCTTTGTATTCGCACATTCACCACAGTGTTTCGGACACCGGGGCGTGCGTGGCCGCGTGACGAGGGTCACGACTCGGAGCCGCGGTATTTTAACGGCGGGCGCTCCTCGGCGGGGCCTGCGACGCCTTCCGCCGCGGGTTCTGTCAGCCGTCGTCGTCTCTATTGAGATGCCCCGCGGCCGTGCCAATCACGCCGCCACAAAGACGCGGCTGAACGATGCAGAAAGGCCCTGATTGGTCATTGAGACTCGGGGGGCGAGACAAGTGATTGGCGGAAACCAATACGGCCATCATGTGTTTTATTGTAGAGCGGGCGTCATCGCGGTGATCACGGCCTGATTCATGGTGCCTCCTGCGCCCTCGATCCGCCCAGCCTCTCGCGGGCGGAACCCTTCGGTGCCGCGGGTCCCTGAAGGATGCTTATTGGGAGGGACCTTATCGGGAATTGGGCTGCAGGAAGTGTTCGGGAAGTGCGTCCTTCGGCTTATTGAATGGACTGAAAAAATGAATTGGGAGTGAATGAGGGAATGGCGAGGGAAATACCAGGTAGAAGTACTCACAATTTTGTTTTACATCTTCAGTTTCTTTCGCAATAGGATTAGATCTTATCATGATAGTCACTTTCCGCTTTTGTGCCGAGTGTCCCAATTACATTTTTTTCTGAAGCAAAACAGTAGTTCTTGCGATTTGAGTTACAAGTAGGATTTGAGTTTGTAAATTCACGGTGAATATGAGGATTTTAATGGCGCCTAGCCTGAGTATTTTTAGTGGCAGTGAAAGTTCTGATGCCTGACTGCCACTGCAGTTTTAATACATAGGGCTACTTTTTTATGCTAACCGTATTAAGTTCATGGCGGTTCGTAAGATACAACAGATGAAGAGTGAAAATTGATTAAAGACTGGCAGATAGTCATGCAACAAGAACTTGTCGCTGGCGGTCTTTTGACACTTGAAATGTATATTATATGTAGATAACAGAATGGCTTTCCTTTCACGCAAGTCGGGTTTCCTCGGTCCACTCGCGGAGCAGAGCACCTGAATGAAGATCAGAAAGTGCTTTCAAATGTCACTCATGTTTTGTTCGCGGGAGGCCTGTTCCTGGTGGACTGAGGCCCCAACTGTGGCGCCGAGGTAGACTCTCCGAGGTCGTCACGTTTCATCACCATGTTATTTACAGGAGACGTCGTCGAAATTTCAGCAAGCAAGCCTCTGAAATTCTGAATGAATATTTCTACTCCAACCTGTCAAACCCGTACCCCTCTGAGGAGGAGAAAGAGGGCCTGGCACGTCGGTGTGGCATTACAGTCAACCAGGTACACTTTCTTCATCACCAGCATCACCACCATTCTGCCGCCACTATAGCCACCACCACCACTGCCACACTGCCCCCACCATCACTCCCCATCACAACCATCACTTGACTCCAACAACGAACTACCAAATACTAGTACCCTTGCTAGTCGACTCAAACTAGACAGGAACTTGCATCCCCTCGTGACCCAGACCTAGCGTGCGGTGGCGGAGGGCGACCTTGTGTAGTGCGGGGTGACCGGCCGGGTTGACGATGCCTGCTGGCGCCTCTACTTCAGGCAGTAGGTGTGTCTTCTGGCACGTCCGAGGCAGCACTACGCACTGCGCCCCTCCCTCCCCGACACGCCCCTCATACCGCGGTTTCTCCACACGTCCCTCTCAGTGTAGACTCATTTCGGTTTGGCCCGACTCGAAGTGTGGTGATGGCGAGGTATGCGAGGCGGAGCACGTGTGGCAGGGTGCGGTGTACCCGGTGGTCTCCGGCATGCGAACACCACCACGTGCCGCTGGCTGGCGTGACGGAGACGTGATGACTGACTCGCGGACTACGCTGGGTGTAGAGCTTGATGAGCCCTGGCTCCCGTGCTGCCGCCGCCGCCGCCTCCACGCCGGCGGCTCTCAACACTGTAGAATGTAGAAGCGGCGCGGGGTCAAGGTCAAAGTGCCACCGCCTGCACGCCAGGACGCAGGCAGCGGCAGAGAGCGCGCCGGGTGGGGGGTCGCGGCGGCAGCGACGGGGCCGGAGTAACGCTTGGTGGACGGTGTTGTGGCGCTTTGGTAGTTCGTTGTTATCCTTCCCTTAGCTTTTTATTTGGTCAAGGTGTTTTTTTATGGCTGTTCTCTTTCAGGCGCAAAAGACGCAACTTTTCCAAACAAGCTACAGAGATTTTGAACGAGTACTTTTACTCGCACCTAAGTAACCCCTACCCTAGTGAAGAGGCCAAGGAGGAATTGGCCCGGAAGTCCAATATAACAGTGGCTCAGGTAAAGAGCGTAACGTTCTCGTTCACTTTCTTGCAGGAAACGAAGACGAAACTTTAGTAAACAGGCCATTGAGCTCCTGAATGATTACTTCTATTCCCACTTATCCAATCCCTATCCGAGCGAGGAAGCCAAGGAGGAACTGGCGAGAGCGTGCGACATCACGGTTCAGCAGGTATGGTGCCGGTACACCGGGGCCCCTCTTACACCCGTGGGCGGCCCCTCTGACACCCACCGAGAGCCCCAACACCCGTACTGGGCCGTCCGCACTCCCGGGTGCCGGACGCCCTTACAGTTTAACCATCAATGGGAGGCTGCCCACGGGTGTTGGAAGCGGATATTCCCAGGCAATCTGGCGGCCACCAGGCCAAGGCAATAGTACTATGACCCTCCATCACTCTCACATTAGGCACAGTCATGCTCGGAGCATTCTCTTTTGTCAGCCTATTCCCAGCTACACAAGACTGAATGATTTCTGTTTTCATTAAATGTTTGCCAACCTGATGCACGCCAAGTGCGGTCATCTCTGACGAGTGCTTCCTTCTGCTAAGTGTTGGCTTGGGATTCTGCCCCCGGCGACGCACTCCTGCAGAAGGAACACTGGTTGTAGAGACCGAGAAGGCCCTGGTGTACGGCTGCCGTTTGCCACATGAAACTCATATATATATTTGTATATATATATGGATATATATTCCTGCTGCGTCGTGATGCCACGTCTGAGGTGAAGGCGTGCCGTGCTCCTCTACTAACCCACTAACACGCGGCACGCCTCCCCTGCACCTGCTCCACGAGTATGTGTTCCAAGGCCGCCTGCGGGCCCGTCGATGCTCACTCGTGCACATTATCAGCCCTGTGTACTGCCCACCACTCACATAGCAAGCACCGAACAGGGTGCCAGATTATTGTGGGTGGTATGCAGCCCCTCTTGCCTGACCTAGCCACACTCGCTGATAGTGTGGGCGTACATGTGTAGTGTGGGCGGATCTTTGGATGGGGCGCACCGCTCCGCCCGCGGGCTGGCCATGTGGCCTCCTATGCGTCCAGCCGTAGTGTGTTGTCACTGTCTCTTTCTGTTGGCAGTGGCACATCCCTGATCTGTGTGCCATCACGTGAGCGGAAGCCGGTGCTGCCGCCCCCGCAGCAGCAGGTCTGGCTTCGGGGACGGCGCCCTGGCTCTGCCGCCTGATGCCCAACACATCAGGTCCTTCTCTACCGCCATTATATTGTCAATCTGTGATCGCTTCTGCCACTCCGTTCTCCTAATGAAGGCCGAGATCGCTTTTAGAGCTGCTGCTCAGCCCACTTTCTCAGCCCTCTTGTGACCGCGCGACCTCCTCGCACACACGTCCCTCAGACAGTACTCACAAGCAAGGAAGGGTTGACGCCAGTACCCGTGGCAAACCAACCCCTGCGCCTCAAACAAAAATAATAAGTTATGCTGTAAAAATCTCTGTAGGTTGGATAAAACCAGCCAGACTCCCAGCTTGTATGTGCCTCAGTGCTAGTGACACTATGTAGACTCCGCAATCAGTGATAGAGCCTGTTTTATTTGACGCTTACCTGCTTCTGCTTGTGTCATTGCCGCTTGTAGCTTCTGCTTTTATTTGCTTCTGCTTCTTGTTTCTGCTCCTGTTCATCTATCCGCTTTGCCCCCCCCCTTGCTATGCGTCCGTTATTCTCCATTTCTTCGTGTTTATCCGAGTTTCCTCTTTTTATTTCTCCTTATTCCAAGTAGCACCCAGTAGCGAGTCAGATCGGGTGGCAATGTGTGCATGCTAACGTTCCCACTCATGATTCATTATACATCTAGCATTCACTAACCATGTTCAGAGTTTTAACCAAGTGATTCATGTTATCATTTGTTATGATATATTTGCTATAATATTAATTGCCTAAAACCATCAGTTTATTAGTTCGGGTTATTGTGGTTATTAAATATCATACTGGTATCTATGTATGTGTGCATGAATATATATTTCTATATATATACATATATATATAATATATATATATATATATATATATTATATTATTTAATATATATATATTATATATATATAATATATAATATATATATATATATATATATATTATATATATATATATATAATATATATATATATATGTATAATATATATATATATATATATATATATATATATATATATGTATATATATATATATATGTATATATATATATATATATATATATATATATGTATATATATATATGTATATATATGTATATATGTATATATATATATTATATATATATGTATATATATGTACATATAAATATATATATGTATATATATATGTAATAAATATATATATATATATATATATTATATATATATATATATATATATTATATATATATACCTATATTAATATATGTATATATACCCATATATATATGATATATAACCTATATATATATGTATATATACCCAATATATATGTATATATACCGAATATATATCCCCATATATTATGATATATAACTATATATAAATGTATATATACTATATATATATTGTATACTATACTATATATATTATTATATATACCTATATATATATATGTTTATACCTATATATATATGTATATATACCTATATATATATATGTATTATACTATAAATATATTATATATATATATAGTATATATATATATCATATGTAATATATGTACCGTATATATTATATTGGTCATAATAAGTACCATAGATATATAAGTAAGTATAACTATACCTAATATAATATATTTATTATATATCCCAATATATATAGGGTATATATACGCTATAGTATATTATTACTATACAGCTATATGTGATAGTCATGTATATATACCTATATATACATTGTTATATACCTGATAATGTATATATGTATTATACCTATATATATGTTATATAATAACCACACACACTCATACTATACACATGCTCATAACATATCAACCTAGTTACACACAACTATATTACATTCATTTCCTAATATATAAATTAATTATAATATTTGAATAAATATATCACTTATAATATATTAAATAGGGTATATATATATTATATATACATTACTTAATATATATATGTTATAATTATATAACCTTAAACTGATTATATATTTAATAATATACCTATTATGATATATAGGTATTCATTACCTATATAGTATATGCTATAATATAACCTATATATTTAGGTTTGTATGTATTTGATTAATATATGTATTAACATCACTATATTAATATTCAAGTATATTTTTACACTATAAGAATTAATCACCAGGAATTAAGCTTTATAGGTTATTATTCATATTGTATACCTATACCATTACTAACTAATTCACTAGCTGCTTGCCTCATAAAGGGTATGGAAAGTAAAACGCATAAGTATGTGATCTTATATCACATTAGTCACTAGTATAATGACCGTACCCAATTATGATGTGTGTGTGCTGTATTACTATCAACTCCTCCGACATAAATATATAATTGTTTGATATTTATTATTCTAGGTCTAATAGTAAGATATTATATATTATGTATCATACTACTGATCATAATTATTTCTTATAAATGAGCTATATAAAATTACTGTTTTTAAGAATATAGTATAATGTAGATAGTATACGTATATAGATGTAGTAAATGGTATGGATAAGTGAAGTAGGGTAGATATATTGTGTTTATGTAAATTATGATAATAGGTGTAATATAATGTAATTATAATATATATAGAGATAGTAATAAAATATAGTACAATAATAGAATAAAGTTATGGTATATTTATATATAGTATATATAATAATAATATATAGTAATACATATATATATTAATCGATATTAATATTAATTGAAGATAATATATAATGTACTAATCATAATAAATGTATGATAAATAAGTTTATTCACATGTATATTATATATCTATGTATATATATATATATGTAATATATAAGCTAAATTATATTCATATATATATCTATATATGTTATGTATATATTTAATATCTGAATATACTACAATTAATATATCATAACTAAACTTGTATATATACATTATATTAACAATACAAAGTGATAGCAGATATATTAAGCGGTCCTGTTTGCAAAAGAATACGTATACACAGGTACGGGTACACTATATATATTATATGTATATGTAGAATGATAGTACCAATAGAGGGATCAAACTAATAATAGTATTGATAATGATATATAGTCGGAACACCCAAAGGCCTTATATAATATCATATATAATAATTGATATTTAACAGGATGGGATATACACTTAAATAAGTAATGAAACTATATGTAGGAAGATGAAGTAAAAGATAAATTAGTAAATTAATAAAAAAAAATAATATTATACCAAATATATAATTTTTTAATGGATAATATATATCGCTAATATACTAAACTAAAGTGTATATATTTCCTAATGATATATAGAATAATATATAAATTTATATATATATAACGAGCCTAAGTAAACCGTATCCTTTAACATATATATATATTAACCTAATGAATTAGTAAAAACAGAAATATTCCTCTATATATTATAATGAATTAATGTTAATATAGTATACAAAACCTTCTATTTAATATTCATTATTTTATTATACTTATCCTTTTTTTTCTTATATAGATATATTATATATATATATATATATGTACCTGTTCACGAAATTCGTCTACCTCGTAAGTCTTAGTATGTATATAATATCTGTATATCATACCTTGTGTATAATGAGTTGTGAAAATAGACTATAATACCGATATCGTCAATATATGTAATTTCAGGTTATACCTTATGTATATATGTTTAATATCCAGGCGTCGATAATATGTATAATAGAATATATATATACACCTATATTTTATACGGAAACTAACTCATTCATATATAGTATGTAATAGATATCCAGATACTACCTTTAACGTATATAGTTTATATATTTATGAGTAAACATAGTATAATATCTTCCGCGG